CTGACCGACTGACGCTGACCTCGAGTGTCCCAATGTAGAGCCGCTCTGACGGGGGTTCTTGACTGAAGCAAACCACTCGGCGTTTCTTCCATGGAAACACAGGGTGGGTTTGAACCCATGGCTTTGTGCTGTGACCAGCTGAACACAAACCTCTGCACTACCCAGAGATCTCGTACAGACACGAAGAACCAAAATGGTCAAGAGAGAAATGCTTCTTATGAAAAGTTTGAAGACCAAAGTGTTGCCTTTCCCCATATACTATTAAAATGAAAACAAACACCTCGTCTCCCTAGGGAAAGGAGGAACATAGGAAATGGGCATATAGAATGAAAGGAAATCAGTTTTTATGATCAGATTCAGAAGAGCCGTCTCTGTTGATGATACAGAGAGAGCCCCAGGGTTGCAGTGGCTACAAGTTGGGCTGCGATCCTCAAGGTCAGCAGTTTGAAACCACCGGCTGCTCCATGGTATAAAGGTGGGGCTTTCTACTCCCCTAAGAGGTAACAGTCTCCGAAACCCACAGGGCCAGTTCTACCCTGTCCTATAGCGTCACTTTGAGTTGGCATCGGCCTGACAGCAGGGAGTTTGTTTGGGGTTTGGTTGATTATACAGCCTTGGCTCATTTCACTACCTGTTTGGGGTGTGTTTTCTTGGTTAAAATGGGAACAAAGTCTTAATACTTTTGAGGGCTGGTGTCCCTGAAGTTGACACACTTCCCGCAGTGAGCCCATGAGCCCGTGCCAGCCTTTGCCAAAGAAGGAGCAGGTTCAGGACCAGGCAGCGTTCAGCCGGATGGCACTGCTCCCAGGACCTGCATCCCACAAAGAGCCATTGTGGGATGGGGACCCTCCAACGTCCAGGACAAGTGGCTCAAATGAAAATCACAAGGCGTGTGAGTGGGACTAGAAACTTGAATGGTACAATAATCACTCTCTTCGTGCCGAGGGGGTGGCTTTCCCTGTAACTTCATTCTGCAATTCAGTCCCCGCCTCGTGTAATAATAATACAGATGCCCACTGGTCATTTGATAAGTGAGAGTGATTGCTGAGAGCCCCGTGGAGTGATTCAGGTGACTGGCATGGGGGAGTAGCAGGAGAAGGGGGGAATTATTTGTTTTCAAACTGGAGCTGTCACTCCTGGGCCCACTCGTCATAAGAGAGAGACATCCTAGCAACAAGCAGCAGAGGCTGGTCCTCTGGCAAGACTGTGCATGTCACCACCACAAACGTAGCCCCACGGCTGAGAAGATGGAGCCTGATGGAGTGGATTGGGTCAGACATGGAAGTAGACCTGGCCCTTCCCACTAGTGGTGATTTTCATGAGTGGGGCTGGGGCCGACGTGGGGGTAGGCTAGGGACAAGGGGTCCAGGCGAAAGACATCTGCCGTGCAGTTGACAAGCAATGGGTGAGCTTCGAGTTTCACGGGCCGCAGAGCCAGTGTTGAGTTCCAAAGCCTGAAGTGGCTGGGAGGAGTCGGGGCACTAATTCGGGCTGCACCATAGTTTCCATCTGAGTGACCTGGAGTGACTCCCCAGGCAGCTGCCAAGCCCACGGCAAATGTAACAGATGCTGCTCTGAGTTCAGCTTTCTGAAACGAAAGCAGCAGGGGCAAGTTGAAGGAGGACTCCATGGACCAGAGGGAAAATGCCTCCTCGGCGGGACCAGCGTGCGGCGTTCTGCGGTCTTCAGGTTGAAGAACAAATGTTCTTTCACTTGGCCTTTTTATTTATAGTTTAATCTCTGAGTCAACAGTATGTTTCCGCTCGTCCATTGTGACAAGACTCCTGGCTGATCTGTCTCAAATATGCTCCCTCCTTTATGAGCGGGAGCTTGGTGGTGGTCATTTTTTTACGGGGTTGCTTGATCTACCTACTTTCTAATGCATCAATAGATACATTATATACATGCCCTATTTTAATTTCTCAAAATCTCCAAGATCTATGAAAGAAGGCAAATATGCCAAGAGGTGGAGGGCATGGCAGGGTGGGGGCGGGGAACCATTTGATTCAATGTCTACTTTAAAACTCATAGGTTGACTAACACAGTAATGTTGGTTTTTCCTTCATCATTTATCTATAACAATACAAATTCCCACCTTGATTCAACTGTAACTCCTGGTGACCCTGCAGCACAGAGTAGAACTGCCCTTTTGGGTTTCTGAGACTTTAAACCACAGATCTCCAAGTTTATTTGGCCTACCTGCCCCCTTTTCATGCAAAAAAAAAAATTACTCAGCAGCCCCCTGACAATGAAAACTTTGGTACTATGGCCCCTAATCCAAGATAACACTTGGTACTATAGCCCCTAATCCCTAATCTAACACGTAACTGTTTACGTGGTGGGATGCACTCTGAAAGGTCAGCAGTTTTAAACCACCAGCCACTCCATGGGAGAAAGACGGGCTTTCTACTATGGCTGACAGTTACAGTGTCGGAAACTCAGAATGGCACCTCTACCCTGTCCTATAGGACCCCATGAGCAGGCATCGACTCAAGGGCAGTGTTTGTTTTCTTGGTTTTAGGTCGTTCCTGCGTCCCTCTCTAGTGGGCAGATGGACCCGCTTTGGGAACACTCAGTCACTGCCATGGAGTTGATTCTGACTTATAGAGGGCTTTTAGGATGAAGTAGAATTGCCCCTGTGGGTTTCCAAGACTGTACATTCTTACTAGAGAAGAAAATCTCATCTTTCTCCCACAGAGCAGCTGGTGGGTGTGAACCCCTGGTTTTGTGATTAGCAGCTTGATGTGTAGCCCATGACACCACCTGGGCTCCTTTTCTCTACGGACACACTATTTTAAACGTGGGGCAGTGAATTGTCTTCATGTAGGACATGTTTGCGGGTTTGGTAGGTAAAGCGTACATGGCAAAGAAACATAGATAACCAATATCTCTTCCAGCAGCCCAGAGCGAAGCATTCCTGTGTCATCGACTCACCAGAATTCAGCAAAATGATGGACTTGAGGCACACAAACTCCTCCCCCTGGAGGTTCATCATTCGGAACTGAGAGGACGTCGCCAACAGCATGTCGAAGATCTCCACCATTCCCTCCACACATCTCCCTTGGTTTCTGTGAACCCAAAGCAGGAAGAGAAACGCCATTACAAAGGGGCTTTGTTCAGAGATCATCCGACAAGCAACCACAAAATGCATTGCCTGGGACAGAGGGAGCTGCAACATTATGTGATGGAATCCTTTCCCATAGATTTCCTACTCCATAAACTAGCTGAGGAAAGGAAATGAGGGCTATATTTGAAGATGAGCAGCTTCTCAAACTGGATCTGTGATTTGTTTGTGTTTTTCCCCCTTTCTAGCTTTTTTATCCTCAGAGGCTATTCAAGTTTACAACCAACTTGCTCACTGTGTGTGTACAGTTCAGACGAGAGAAGTTCATTCAGTATGCATGCCTCTCTGCGGAAGCCTGTAGGAGCTCCCTGTTCTGCTTGCAGTGGTCAAGCACTGTAGTCTCCGTTGTGCCCAATTTAAATCTTTCTCTGGGCGAAAGAAGGAGCCCTGGCGGCCAGGTGGTGAAACACTCAGCCGATAACGAAAAGGTTGGAAACCATCAGCAACTCCTTGGGAGAGAGGTGGCAGTCACCTCTGTAAAGATTACACTCACGGTCCTGGAATCGATTCCAACATGCAGTGGCCTGAGCTCTGGGGGTGTCTCCAGGTCAGCAGGTCAAAACCACCAGGCACTCCACGGGAGAAAGATGAGGCTTTCTACTCCTGCGAAGAGTTAAAGTCTCAGAAACCCACAGGGAAGTTCTACTCGGTCTTCGAGGGTTGTTATGTGTTAAAATTGACGGAAGCTTGAAGCTATCCATTTTTATTGGTGCAGATGGTCTCATCTTTCTCCCAAGGAGCAGCTTATGGGTTTGAACTGCTGACCTTGCGGTTAACAGTCCAAGGATTACCTGATGAGGTCACCAGGGTTCCTTTTATAAAGGCTACAACCTTAGACACACTATGGGGTGATGCTCCTCAGTCCGATTCTTCTCACTGCCACCGAGTCAATTCTGACTCAGCGCAATCCAATAGGACAGGGTAGAGGCCCTCCTGTGGGCTCCTGAGCCCTAGAGGATTGCTATCCGTTGTGACCAACTTGATGACCGTGGCTTTTTAAGGAAAGGAAGGATCTCTGGTAGAGCCGCAGGTGTTTTGCTTCTAATGAAAAGGTTGGGAGTTAGAACCCACGCAGTGGTTCTGTGGGTGCAAGCCCAGGCTCTCTGCTTGGATCAAGACTGTGGCCTTGGAAACACAACGGGGCAGCCTCTACTGGCTCACAAGGGATCACTGTGAGTTGAAAAGGACTTAGCAGCACCTCACAACAATCAGAAGATGTCCCGCTTTGGGCGGGACAGTCCCGATTTTTGGAGTTTTTAAAAAGTCCTGATTTTTGGAAAGAATGCACGACAAGCTAGGGAACGGTCTATTTGGTCCATAGAGACCAGATTTTTCATCAAGAACCCCCCTTCCCCACCCCCCGGTCAATGGTATCCCACTTTAAATCTGGTCACCTTAGACAACCACTGAAACCCCAAATCCCCATTGCCATCAAGTGGACTCAGAGCAATAGTGACCCTATCGACCAGCGGTTCTCAGTCTGTGGGTGGAGACCCCTTTGGGGGTTGAACGCCCCTGTCACAGGGATGCTCTCTTCATCACAGTAGCAAAATGACAGTGATGAAGTAGCAATGGAAATAAGGTTATGGCTTGGGAGTCACCACCACGTGAGGAACTGTACGAAAGGGTCGCAGCCTTAGGAAGGTTGAGAACCACTGCTATAGACCCCTGCCACTGACCCTATAAACAAAAAACAGGGCGCCCACAGCCAGGAAATTCCAACTTATAGCAACCCTATACAGGGTTTCTGTGGCTACAAATCTTCACAGGAGCCTCTTTTTTGTCCAGAGGTGCTTGGTGGGTTTGAACTGCTGATTTGGGGTTAACTCCACGCATAACCACCATGCCATCAAGAATCCAGTGACCCTAGGTGACAGAGTAAAGTTACTCCATGGGGTTTCTTCTTTCTCCCATGGCATGGCTGGTGGGTTTGACAAGAAGTACAATTCTCAAGAAAAGGAGCCAGCCTCCATGGGCCCAGAATCACAGCACGAGAATTTTCTCGTTTGGCACTTTTTTTTTAAAATTAACATGTTGATGCTTAGATGCTAATGCAACATTCTAAAGCAAGGTGCTCAGAACCTGCCAGGCCCAAAGGATAGATAAAGAAAAGAGATTTCTTTATTCTGGGTGATCTAATGCACAGATGGACAACAGGACACACAGTTGCAGACCGCCCCACTACCACCAAGTCAATGCCCGCTCAGACCAATCCTATAACAGATACCGGTCATCCATGCCTAGACTTTCAGCACATGTCTAGGTCCCTCACGTCTCAGCTCCTAGTTCTCCTCATCTTAATGCTATGACTTTGTGATAGGTAGGGGTCAATTGGGCTGGGCCAGGATTCCCAGTAGTTTGTCGGTGAAGGCCTATGAGGTAATCCCCATGATGTTACCTAACACAATGTAGTGAGCTCTGCTGTGAGCAGCTCATCAGCGTAAAAAAGATTAGTATGAAGTGCAACTCCCTTACTCTGTCACAGCCCTTGACATGCAATTGAACGGACGTTTCCTGGGGATATGACCTAATTCTTATGTAAGGTGAGAATGCTGTGTGGATGCTTTCTTGATTTATTTTTTGCATCAACCTCCAGTTCTTTGGACTTGAGTCAATGGCCTACCATAATGCCGGCCGACCCCAGGAACCATCAGTGACCTGACATCTGACCTGCCAACATTTGATTCGTTCCCCTCTCTAGTCACAAGCCTGATCCCTGACCTTGTATTCATCTGCCTCTGAAGCCCACTCTTCCTGCCACCCTGGAATAATCAGCCCCGGAAGCTATGCTAGGCAGCATGGTGCTCCTGCTTTACATCTGACCCACAGACTGGACTTACTCACGTCTACAGAATCAGTTGAAAGGGCTGTTTCCAAATATTTCTCTCAGTCCATCTATTTCTCACCCTCTCCTGGTTCTGGGCTTAGCTGAACTAAACCTTTAACATTCTCCACGCTTGCGCACCACACAGGACCCCTTTCGCTTGTCAACCATGCTCTGTGGGCTGGTTGGAGAAGGAACTTGGGAAGGGCATGTCACTCTGAGGAGGCTGTGAGTCACCAGATGCCTCCCAGGAAATCCTCTTGGACTCCAGCCCAAGATGTCTGGGGGACATCTGTATGTGCTGCCACTATTCACTAATCTATTAACAAAATATTCCTTGTTCATGGCTTCTTAGGATGCCTGTGATGAGATTCATGGATGCACAGGGGGCCGGGTAGCAGTTGCTTCTCTTGTTGGGGGATGTTTGCTTACTATCAAAATGGATGCATAGTTCAAAGAGTTTTTTTTTTTTTTCTTTTAAAAAAATCATTTTATTTGGGGCTCATACAACTGTTATCCCAATCCATACACACATCAATTGTGTAAAGCGCATTTGTACAT